CTGCCAGGAAGGTGAAAAAATATTTCCTAATTTCAATGCACACAACTACAAAAGCTTATAGTAAAACAAAAAGCATTTGACTTGTTGATTATTTTTTTTATTAAATTAGTTTTAGGGCAAGAAAAGAAAATGTCCGCCGCGGTGGAGCTAAACAAATTAATCGGTGTCGGCAGGGCTCGAACTCGGGTTGCTCGCGTAGTGTGAAATTTGCAGTGAGCGCTAATCATCTGAGCTGCTATGGCTCGTATACATGTTTACGAATTTTTAAATAATATACTTACATTTATTTCTATTCTATTTTTATAAAGTTTAATATTTATAATTATTTTATTGGTAATATTTTATTACAGTCAAACAAGATATGGAAGAAAGAAGAAGTTTGGCATCGCTTTTTCTTCGTGCATCTAGTTCAAGTTTAAGAAGGACGGCATCGTTGCATAATATCTACCTAAGAATAATGGTATTTGTTGCACAACAATATCGTCTGCACGCCATCTAGCGTGTCAATGTTTAAACTATACTTTTGGCGCTTTTGCTTGTCAAGTTATCAAAATTCACTCACACTACTAAAGAAGTGTCAAAAATTTCCTAGATTTTACTATGGTTTTTCTTAATAAATACTATAAGTTATTTCCTAATAAGGTCAATCGCGAGCACATTTCAGTGTAGAAAAGTGATAAAACGATTAGTTTTAAACAAATAGTGTCTGTGTTTAACGTATATGTCAAAACAAAAATGTATGGCGGTGGCGGGGGTATTGGAGCTTCCCCTTAAAAGAAAGCATACAAAAAAGTGTTTTATTTTTATTTAGAATCTAATACGAAATTCTCCCAGTAACCCTGTATACATGAAGGTATGCTTTGAGTATACGATAAATCACTGTGACAAACATTTTTGTAGTGTTTTGTCGATTTTAATGTAACAATTTTTGTTACATTAATATCACTTTAACTAAATAAAATCAAAATAATCAATTACATCATAGACTTGAGCGTACACTTACTATGATTAAGTAATATTTACGTGCTAAGAAAATACATCAGTGTAACTATCCTAAAGAAGCAATAGAAAACTATTTAAATAAATAGCAAACATAATATGAGGATAGTAGGATCGCATGAGCATGGTCTTCAAAACACAAAACACACAATTCTAAAAGTGAACATTCGGTCGCCCGGCTATTTCGCAAGCTATACAATAGAGAGCGGATATGTGAATAAAAAGGATGTTGATAACAACATTTTTTTGCTAGATCGCCACTTTTATTATTTACACGTTTTGGTATTAACAAAGATCAATATTTTCCACATTTTGTAAAAGTATCTGGTTCGTTTTCAACAGAGCTATCAGTAAAGTAGGATGGAAGACACCTTTTCTGCCTAGCTGTCAGTCTGGGTAAACCACCCTCTTACCTATTTGTGTATGTATGGTCTGCAGGGTAGAGCCGTTATAATTACATTCTGTGAGGCATACCATCTTGGTGAGACCAGGTGATAACGCACCTGTAGCTTTCTTTGTTTGAAGTTGGTTGCAGGTGAGCATGGGCTGCAGTAGCCATTTACATTTAGAAGGAATTTGAGCTCTTTTATCATTTCTGATAATTGAAAAAACAGTTGTATAGTATTAAATTCTAAAGCGGTTGTTGATGAGCACAGCATTGATAAATAAATTGTTGATGATATAATAATAGTCGTTTTACATACATAACATTCATCATACATATATATGTATACTCTCAAGCCTATCACCCAAAGGGATAGGCGGAGATTACGGACTTCCATTTGGCGAGAGCCTGACACGATCCTTTCAAATCTTTTATTATTGTATGTTATAGTTTCTAAATTTTTAAACACAGTATGAGACTAAGGTACTTAAAGTGTCCTGAATCCTGGATTCAAATCCTAGAAATATCATTTATTTGTTAAGTTGAACGAATTGTTGTACATCGTTTTGAACATCAGCTTAATCAAAAAGGCATAGTCACATGTAAAATTTTGTATAAATTATTATTAGGTTCGCAAGGCAATTAGAATGATAACAAAATGCTTTGCAAATGTGTCACGCATCGCATCAATTAATATTGTGGTCTTTGAGATCATTGTTAATCATTGTTAAACAATGGTGTTGACAGCACTGGTTAAAACAAGTACGCAAATAACAATATGAAATTATACACAGAATTATTTTTACATAATTTCGCTTCAATTATGTTTTAATGATTAATGTTAATATTTTACGTGATATGTCATTGTCTTTGATAGTTTCGACATGCGGCAATTTCATAAATTATAGAACACTGGGGCTAACATTTAACTAATTGTATTTTAAACAATACTGCAATATCTATCAAGATGATAAGAACGCTAGATGTAGATAAGGCAAACACACTGATTAGCTGCGTACATCAAAATGTAATTGCTAACATCTGTACATATAGTCTTGCTCGGGTTTATATTTCCGTTGTAGGTCCACCCTGCCGCTTTATTATGGTTGCAGCACGAATGTCACGACTCGACAGGGGAACACGATCACTCTCTCTCACGATCACTCTCTCTCTCACTCACTCTCTCTCTCTCTCTCTCTCTTAGAATATCCGCGCAATAGCAGCTTAATACTGCTGAGTATCGTATGGTGGGTCGTAGTGAACCCGAAACCCGTTTTACAGGTAACGAGGCATTCTATATTAGTCCTCAGGGTGGACAACGCATCTACACTTTGATTCTTAATCACAGATAGATGTAGGTGTGTATGGGCCTCTGTACCCACTTATCATGAGGCGGACTGTGTGGTCGTTTACCACCCTTTCTACAAAATATGTTGAGTGCTAAAGACACAAGCAGGCTTATTACATAATGAGGAGGAAAACAAATCGGGTACAAAATTGGTTAGGTTAGGTAAGATTACCCTCTCCACTTTATAATATATGAGGAAAGGGTAACCTTACCTTAAATTAGTTAGGGAAACTTATATCGTGACTCGGTATCGACAACTGAAAAAACATCAGTATTTTTTGATTCTTTACAGTTTATTTTTTATTAAATTCTTAACATAAAACCATTGCGTTAATAGGAAACCGTTGAATATCAAGCTGTGACAAGGCAAGTGGTTTCTGTTCTAATGAAATAGACCCTGACGTACGATATGGCGACGTAAAATAAATACCACAGCGTTACCCACTAGGTGATCAAAACAAGAACAAAACATCGGGTCGCAGAATTGTCTCATTGTTATATATTTATATTCGTAAACAATGCAGATGCTTGGCACGTCGTTGAAGCGGCAAGAATTTCGTTTTTCATTGTGTTTTTTTTTTTCGTGGTAAAGCCGTGCTATATTACAGCTGTAGCTCGAATGGGTCATCTCGACTAGGGAAGGACTACGCTCCCACAGACCAACGTAAATTAGCATTTTATTGCTGTTGTGTTTGTATGATGAGTGTAGAGAACCGGCAACCCTTTATACTAGTAACAAGGCAAATCTTAGTCCTTAGCAGTGACAACGGGTCTGTATTTTGATTTCTTATCGAGGATAAATGTAGGTGTCTTTTGGCCACATTATCCACTTACCAGCGGGTGAACTATGTGCTCATTTGTCGCCCTTATTCTATAAAAAAGGCAGACAATCCATTTTATAGGAACTGGTATTCTTTTACTGGGATTTGAGGTTTGTCAAATGAGATGTACATGTTCTTACTGAAAGCAAAGAGTTGATTCGCGCGGCTAATAAAAAAGCACAAAAGGTCAATAGAGAAGATGGTTATAGCACCTAAATATTTCATGTGCTTGGAGTTCTACAGTTAATAAAATTAAATCCAAACCAAAGCCTACTTCATATTTAAAAGCTGAAGCTACCCTGGGTTAACTTTGACATCAGGACGTCAAGCATACCTCAAACCAGCCATTACCCCCCCCCCCCCCCCCCCGGTGACCATGGGTGCTGGTAAAGCGTTGGAAACGCCGGGAATAAAACCCGTAACATTAGTTTTATTTTATATTAGATTGTTGTTAAAAGTTAATGTTTCAATTATATTAAATACTTCTTGAACATTAAACAAAAAACAATGAACACATTCAAATGTGTTTAATGCTTTTTATTTATATTAAGATTAAAAATTTTGTTCTTATCATTCCGCATGTCGTAAGAGGGGACAGAGGAATAGTAAAATAATTTAAAGTTTTGTACCACAAACTTCAAAATAAATTATTAAAGATAACTCAAAAACTATTGGTCAGACGTTGATCAAATTTATATGGGGCCACGTGAGAAGCACCCTCTTTCGAATAAAAAAAGAATCGTTGAAATCGGTTCAACCAGGCAAAAGTTGAGGTAACACATAAAAAAGAAGAAAAAAATACAGTCCAATTGAGTACCTCCTCTTTTTTGAAGTCGGTAGAAAAGTAAAAAGTAAATCGTCGTACATGTAGTTACTAATAAATTGATTCACTTCCTTTTTATAAAAATATTACATCAAGAAACGTTCAAAGTGCGTCCATTAATAACATGTGGCGATTTTTCTACACTTCCCCTCCCCCTGGGGTGACGTCGTTTGATGCTCAACCCCCTCACTCCTCCACCAAATATCACGTGTGATTTTCCTAAATGCGTATTTCTTGTGTAAATATGTTAATCTGTGCTTGCTTGCGTTGGGTTTATTTAAAAAAATAAAACATAATTTGCTTAATTATAATTATATTATTTGTGGAGCTCTCATAACTGCGATAAATATGTATTATTGTATCAGATTTAGCCATATTCTACTTAATTTAACCCAATTTACTCGAATTTTACTGGCCTACCTCTACCTCTGGCCCACGTGGAGATTGGGTGACAATCGGCTCGAACCCCCCCCCCCCCCCCCCCCCCCCAATAAACATCTAACTTAATTAATGGACATATAAATTAGTCACAACAAACTTTTTATTTCTACTCTCGCTTACCTTTTCTAAACCTTCATTATATTAGGTTGCACTAAATTAAGTTACAACAGAAGAAATACCAACCTTAAGGTAACACCATCCACATCTAGTGTATTCTGCTGTATATTTAGTTGGAAATGCCGAAGTTAGATGTTCAGCAATCTTCTGAGCCCAATTGCGTCTTTCAGATGCGCTTGAACAACTGAACAGTATTTTACGAGGGCTGCTGCGAACTCCGCTCGTTGACACGGATATCTCGAAGCAATATGAATTACTTGTGGTACTGTCGACACAAATACACTCTTATAAATATTGTATTATTAAATTTAATTTGTGGCAATGTATCAATAATGAACAATTTGGTCCTTTGACTCAGGTCATATAAAAGTATTAATGATAGAGCAATCAATTTTTAGAATGATCCAGAACTAACGATTGCTGCAATCTTTTTGACATGTAATTGACTGCTTTGCACAAATTGTGACTGTAATAATACTACGCTAATATAACTTTTTCTGCTTATTATTCGAAATAAATGTGTAAGTTGCTTCAACCAATCTATTAATATAAGGTAGAAACTTTGTATTTGAGTTTCAAATAATTATGGATGGTGGGACATATACAATATTATCTTTAATAGCATATGTATCTGAGATACAAAAGCTTATCATTTGTTAAGTTATAAATATTTTTCATATATTAATCTTAACACAGGTTTAAAGTTCTGTACACTGTTAAAAAGAAAGGTAATTTCGTTCTTAACCGAATCACCTGTGATAAAGATTAACGACAGGCAAAATCGAATGGGCCTCGGAGATCATATAGTACTTAAACGCAAAATAATCCATCCAAATGATTGACCTGTGAATGATTGGGTCACTAGCAATGAATGGTTGACACTGGTTCAAAATAATATTATTTTGAATAAATAAATACCAAGTCAAAAATAAGTCACCTATTACTCTGCTTTGAGTAGCCAGATAAGTAGACACAAGGTTTGCCAAAGATAATATTAAATTTAAATTCTAGATTCTTAAGCTCAAGCTATATGGACATTTCCCACCACGAGAATTGTTTTACAGTTATGTTCTTTTTCAGAATGACCCTGTATTAATTGCTACTTTTGCAGCATTTGTTTTGATTAAATTATACAAAAATTAAAAATAGCATGTTATTTGAGTGAGATTAATTTTTAAATATTTAGCTAAAATTATATCATAATCAATGTTGCATGAAAGGCAGCAGGAGAATGATTTTATTCTGAAAGCAGCCATTGTGTAGTTTGAATGAGCAGTTATCAGCTATATTGTATCCTGTAGTCAACTTACTACTACTTGTGAACTGCCACAGAGCAAGGTTTACTCATGTCTGTAACTTTTATGTATATGAACATTACATTTCCAAAATATTTTACTTTTTAGTGTCTTTATTTTTGTGGGTGATCTAAAAAAAGCAAAAAAGAACTGCTTTTTACATTAGAATGCATATATTTCACATAAATGCTTGCATGTTTTCCGTCAGTAAATACATGGAGCATGAGTCCAACGCTTTTGCCCTAACATAAGTCCAGAGATTTGTTTAACACATATTTTATATAAAACTATAATAAGTAGTAAAGGATAGGCTAATCATTATGTATAAATGTATATTCAGAATATTTTATTTGTCCTTAGTTAGTTAGTTACTTAACGACAAGCTGTTGTCCACAACTCCACATATAAGCACATTTTTTTTATTTGATCTTTTCTACTTACTAAAAGGGACTCAAACATTTTACACCCTGGGCCCTTGTACAACCTAGGATGGCCCTGAATGCTTGAAGAGTATTTGAGTGACTCAGTTAATAAGGTAAGTTCTTTTCACAAGACAAGACATTACTCACTATGTATGCATTGATAATTGCAGTAGGAAAACTCCACTGATTACCATCTCAATTGCTACCACATGCATCCTTCGATGAATTTGATCGATGTTATTTCTACTTGTGAATGTGAAGAGTGATTATTATAATAAACAACTCTGCTTAAGCATCTTTATTATTGATTTATTTAAACATTATTATAATGTCCTAAAGAGGAGCTAGAATAAGTATATTATGGTGTACTACATACATAAATAATAATATGCATATATTTTCTGTTCTTATTTTGAAAATATCAACCAGCTCTCATAATAAACATGTGATAATATTTTACATAGACCTTATTACTCACCTTGATGAAAGAGGTAGTACAATCTGCAACGAATTTATGCTATCTAAAGTGTATGCTTCTTTTAAAATGGAATTTGTTGGATCTGTATAGCACAGCAACTTTTGGTCAGAGAGGATGCAGTATCGTGATTGTGAATTCTTAAATAAGTCCTCTACAACTCCAGATACAATCTTTGTTAAAATTCCACTATAGTAGAGTACAGTTAAGTTATTAACTGTTGGCCTCTCAACAACTTCAACTTTTTGAGCTTGTTGCTTATAAGTTTTTTTACCATCTAATTTCAACATATTAGAAAACCTTTGGATGACAGAATTAGGTGTTTTTGTTTCCTCTGACATAACTTTATTTTCGGCCACATTACTAACATACCAGTTAGAATTGGCATCCTTCTCTGGCTCTGCTGTTGCAGTTGCAGCTTCTGTAGATTCATTTGGAAATAGACTATCAGACCTCTCTGGAGGAGTTGGTGGATTGAAATATTCGCTTTCACTAATATCAAAATTATCCTCAGTACTGTCTGTTGAAATTATAGTACCATATGTATCTCCAATTAAAAAAGATTCTAATAAGAGAAGTTCATTGCTAACGCCTTCATATTTAGTAACTGCCTTAGTTGTATTCAAAGGATCGAATTCAAAAATAGTACTCTTGCTTGCTCTTTCCATAGTCTCATTGCAAGATTTATTTGACTTTTGTGATGGCAGTGTCCAATTTTCATATAAAGAATTTTGTCTCATTAATTCCACAGCGCTTTCTCTTTTCTTACGCCTTTCTGGTACATCTGGTGTTGAAGCGATACTGATGATACTATTTTGCCTTGATGGTTTTGGAGTGTCGTATGTTGTTGGCTCACAATCAATACTTGTCCCAAGATCATTATTCTCTTGATCTTTACTGTCACAGGAAAAATTGCTTATAGTATCTGGATTAGAATCAGAATTACTTGAGAAAAGTGATAAGTCATCTAAATAAGAAGCATTTAAATGTAAGGATGGCAAGTTATTTTGTGAATTGTCACCTTCTATATTAAATCTTTTTTGCTCTAACAGTGGTGAATGAAATTGTATATTATCAAACAAGCTAACATCTACAACTGGCATAGAAACACATCTTTGAGAATCTGCATCTGTTACATTCTCATTTCTTTTCGATCGCCGCAATTTTAATCCAGCTGATCTTGTACCTTCTATTACAGATTTAGCGACTGTATCTCTTACAGCCCTGGATGTAGTAAATGTTTTTTCAAGTGTCCCTTTGGCAAACCTAGAGCCATCGATAATTGATTTTTCTAATTTTTCATTAGCTGTTTTAGCTGAGCTACTTACTTTCAGAGCAACATCCTCTGTTATTTGTTTAGAGACAGAACTTATAGAACGCAGTATGTCAGAAGCTGTTACCCGATCGTTGGATATTGGCACTTTTGTTCGTGGTAAAGGTACAGGTCTTTTTACACCCTCAGTTTGGGGCATGAATGCGCTCCGAGGTTTGGGCACGGGCGGTGTATCCATTAGAACAATACCTTCTTATTATGACGACGTACTTTTTATTAAAGTTACCAATAACAGTTAGTACCATAAAAACATAGCGTTGATAGAAAGTTGTTATGATGAACTTTAGAGTGAGTCATTGCAGGAGACCACTTATTTATTGTGTTGGCCTAATTAACATATCCTAATTATTTGTTTTAATACTTTCTTATATAGTAATGAGTATATTGACTACAAAAGAAACCAACAATAAAATCTTAAGCGAAAGCACTAGTACTACACTGCACACAGAATTAACAAAGTTCCAAGACAAAAGAAAATACAGAAATAAAAAAAAAACTAAAAAAAGATGAAACAGAGCCAACGTCGTATCATACAAATTACTCTGTGGCACAGACTAACTCTTAACAGAATCAGTAGGTATCATACTTTGAGCATAGAAAATAGAGGAGCTGCCCAGAGCGTCTATATGTTATATTGGTTATACAAGTATGGTCATATTCGACATTGAACTGTCAATATGCTGCCTATCTGTTTTTCACTCAGCGTAGTGCATAATAAGTCTAAGTGTCATTCATAAATGAAACAGATAACAGAAATTGTTTCGTATTCTGGTAAACATTTTTAAGATGACGTCATTTAACCCCGCCTTGCGGCCGATTTCGCCATTTATTGTTTCAGATTTGCTGTTATAAAAAGTCGTTTGATATTTATAATTTGAAAAATTTGCGATTTTTCAAACAGTTTATAGTGAATTTTCCAATTCATTATAAAGTACTAAGATGACTAAGTGTTGTGTAAGAGGCTGTGCCTCAAAATATAGTCAAAAATCACGCGAACTATCATTTCATATTATGTGAGTGATTTAGTTTTTGCTGTAAATATAATGTAGAAACGTTTATATCTTTTGCGACAGTAAGTAGATGGATGTAATTATTTACCCTAAACCTTTAATTCATATTATTTAGTTACTTCTTACCGTTATTTGCATATCTATAAAATTTTGTTGTTCGTAAATAGTGATGTTACATTGCTAACAATAAATTCTTTCAAGGACATACTTTATTAAGGTTTTTCTTGATTTATTCTGTCGTATTATTTGAAAAAGTTTTGCGTTATGCATTGCATTATTTCGGTGTCATGGGTCTGAGCAGTGGGCATAAATGATTAACTAAATTATACGGAAACGGAGTTACATTCATGTTAGGTAGGACCTACGGTAGCTACATAACAAAAGTGAAGCAAAGCAACAAACATTACTTAAAGTACAATCTAGCACCTGTAAGTAATCTCTCTCTGTGGGCAAACATGCAAATACCTCAGAGACTATGGACATTATTACTTGACTTTATTATAAATTGTATATATTAGCCCATCCGTGCCTTCTAATAATGCAATATACAAAAATGTTGAGCATATTTTTATCTTTAGTTTAGCTTAAGTCACATTTTATAACAACCAAGGTGTTGTTTAATTTGTAATATTATTTTCAGCTTCATAGATCTAAATTATTATTTTCTGTTCTATCATTTTTAGGTTCCCAAAGAAGAAAGTAGTTTAATAACGTAATATTTATATATTACTTTATATTAATAAGTATTTTATAAAAATATTGCGTTATTAAACTACTTACATTCTACATCCATTACATTCTAAAAGTTCATTGCTGTACCTGGGTCTCTACTATAGATTGCCTCATAGGGCATTTTGCCACAGCTACCACGCTTGGCAGGCGGCTTAGCATCCGCAGATTTTTATTATTTTGTGTACTACTTCACTTGGTCTTTCTTAATTTTGTTGCCAAAATCCAGAAATCACCCATTCTAAGCCGGGGTGGATATAAAATAAAAAAATTCACAGCAAATAATTTATTTGATACGATAATTTATAACCACAAATGCATCGTAAAGTATAATAATGTTCAAATCACAGCGATTCTAAAGTAGTTTTTACTTCAACAGATATGGGGGGGGTGCTACAAGCTCAAAAAGAGAACTCCATCTTGTTTTACCATCCTGGTTTTAGATAGTAACTTATTAGCCCAGAAGTAAAGCTTATTCTGTATAATATGAAGTCAGAGCAACTAGCTTGCTAACTTACAACTTACAAGCACGAGTTGCTATCCGTGCATTAAGTATCAAAATCGTCTTCAAACTATTATTTAAACGATAAAATTGGAGCAGGAATCATCTGGCGGTTAAATTCACGCGAAATTGACCCCTAGCCTCCATAATCGTTAGAGAAAATATAATTTTGCATGTTTAAAAATAATATAGGTGTTACTACATTTTAAAAGTTGATTGACTTCACATCACTAAAAAATGGGTGGAGCTTACAGCGTCCGCCATTTATTGTTTCAATTTGACACGATTTTTTTGTAGGCTTGCCATCTCCTCTATTTTCTATGCTCGAAGATATCATATTAGTCAGTGGTAACAAGACACTCTTAACCACCCCCCATACCCCAGCCTATGAGTTTGGAGTATTTATATTTATAAAAAAATACTGGCAGAAGTTTTTTAAACAGCACATCTTAAAAATATTAATTGTTATAAGTGTGTAAGTAATAAGTTGATAAAACCTTTTAAGTGATGATTGGGTGCGTTAGACACTTAAAAAAATTTTGGTTTTCTCAACTTTTTGTGCTTATCATTGCATTTTATGCATTTTTTACGATGGTGCAATTATAATTAACCAAGGTGCAGATTTTGTATACTGTAAAAAGTACCCAAATCTAATTATTTGAAGTAATATAATTTTTATACTTGTTAGAGCCATGCTGCAGCTATATTAGAAGTATAGTTGTAGCACGAATGGGTCGGTTCGACCGGGGAAGGACCACGCCTTCATAGAATACCAGCGTAAAATAGCAGCTTAATGTTGTTGTGTTTCGTGATGAGTGTAGAGAACCGGAGACCCTTTTTACTGGAAAATTTCTTAGTCCTCACGGGTGGCAACGAATCTGCACTTTGATACGCAAACGAGGATAAATGTAGATGTCTATGGCCCACAGCAACCACTTACCATAAGGTGGACTGTGTGCTCATTTGTCACCCTATACTATAAAAAAATTTCGACGTTATAAGGTAAGCGATCTTTAACTGTTTTTTTTTATTTCTAAACTATGGGTGCAGTTAAAATAGTTAATATTTTTGAGATGTGCTGTTTGAAGTCCGTCTGATATTTATATACAGGTTGTCCCAGTAATGGTGAATAATCTGGTACGTACATAATCGGGCGAGGGGGAGATGCCCTCGGTTCCCTAAAGAAAAATTCTATCCCGAACGCTCTATGCCATGTTTATAAAATTCCGAAAATTCGTACTTCTGCTCACATTTCTGGACATCACGTCCGTAGTTTAATCCCTAGATCGGATTTTTTTCTTTTAATGTATTACTTAATAATGATGTTTCTAAATTACTCTTAAAAGTTTTCAACTACTATGGGTAGTATTTTACAAGACGGCACTAAACATAAGTTTTAATTTTTTACTTTATTTAACTGCTAAGTTTGAGGATCTTTGGTGAAAAAAAAAACATGAGGATTCTAAAACAGCAGCATACCATGTACTTAACGTCATTACTTACTGAGTTATAGCCGTTAATGCGTAAAAGTAGGCATTTCATTACAATATTACAAAATTATTGGCAAATAGTTTTTTTTTTAACATTGCGTGTATTTATTAGGTAATTACATCTGTTTACAAAGTATAAAATTTACTTTACTACATGCTCGCCTTGTTTGAACGAATTCTAAGCTGTGTGAGCGAGACAAACAGTGAAACTTGACATGTTTTATTATATACAGCTGTGAATGTACATAATAGAACATGTCAAAAATATGGCTTGTACTGTTTTCCATTTGTTAAGGATGCGTAAATGAATGAAAATAAAATGAGTTATATCCAATGTTTTCTTTTTTTGTTAAAAATTATATATAGAAAATGCTCGAACTGACCTCCTCCTGCCCTTATGCAGGCTCTACATCTTTTTACAAACGATCTTTCTAAAATTCTTTGATAATTTTTGATAGAAATAAACCTTGCTGCGTCTGTGACGCGAAGTCTAAGTTCGTCGATTGTTTCAATTAGTTTTTTATAAACTAGCTCCTTCGGGCAGCCCCTATAAAAATCCATCGATCACGGTGGGCTTCGTTTAAATAACTCCTTACTTGGACGGCGTAATATGCCGAACAACCATCATTTTGGAGCCATCTTCGCCGGATGGCTAGTGGCTCATCTTCTAATAAACAGGGCAGCTCATTTTGCAGAAATTCTTCTTAGAATTTCTGCAAGAATTGGCCCCAATCTGGTTATCCGGCAATTCATAGGGGCCTATGATTCTTCCGTTTAGTACTCCTGTCCAATAATTTATTTTAAACTGGTATTGCGACCTATCTTTTCCCAGCAAATAGATTTGTTCGCTGTCAAATATGCAGATTATGCAAGTTAAGGTACCCGTCTCTTTAACATGTTGACTCGTCGCCCACAAATCTTTTCTCTCATTCTCAGCATTTCTCTGCAAAAAGTAGCTCGTGCTGGGTAGTCACGTTGTTGAAGCGCTTGCACACGTGTAGCGTGATAAGGATGAAGTCTCCATTTATTGAGAATCCGATGTGCTATAGAGTGCGGTACTCCAGTGCGTCGTTTGATATCTCACATCGAAATAGACGGAACTTTTTCAACCATATCATGGAGAATTTCTTCATGCAGTGGTGTTGGGAGTAGTGGTGCTGGGATAAGTGGCGACGGTGATATTGCACGCAATTGAGGGATGGCGGGAGGTGCTCTTCAAACTAGGTAAGACACATCATTTTATTTTATCGAGTGGATGTACGCGAAGTCATTGTTTGCCAACTTTAATAAGATTGCTCTGTTTAAAGGCCAACATGTTTATTAGGCTATACTCTCTCTTTCGTCTGTTCCTGAAAAATATAAAGTAATAACAAACTTATTATTAATTTAGATGCATGAATTTAAAAACATAATGATCTTAACAGCGACTAGCCAAATGCCCAGGAGATATTAAGGTGATCTTAACAGAGTTAAGTGCACCAAGAGTCTGAGGATACATATGTACTCTCTATTCTCTCAGTCTCGGTATGTTATGAAAATGGTCACCCAACCATGGACTAACCAAGTGCAGCTACATCTCGCAGATCTATTGATCCGCGCAGATATTATTTAACCATGAGTTCCCCTTCTCTACGACTAACTTTTGCCACATGCAGTCATTCAGCCTCAATTATGAACTGTAGCGTTCTCTGAAAGGGATCCACGCCAATAGTGACTCCAAATGGTATACAAGTAAATTGATAATGGGCCCCACATGCTTTAAATGCTGTATATTTTCGTTCAGTCTTTAAAATTGGCTTCACCAATCACCAAATGTGATAAGCGCTTTTTAAATCAATTCGATTGAAATAGTTGTATTTTGCAACGTTCCAATGTTGACTCAATCTATTCAATGAATCTATTAATTGTTAAGGAATAATCAATGACAAGAAGTTTTCGATGTATAGTGTCTCCTGTTACTAGTATTTGCGATCGTCAACGAGAGTTACTTGGTTCAATCACTTCATCTTTCAACAATTTTGAAACTTCTCCTCTAATAAATTGTTCATCAATGTGTGTATAACGTCTTGACTTTATTGCAATTGGTTTTATGTTTGGATAGAGGTTCATAAACAACGATACAGGAGGTACTGATGCTTCCACGCTTCAACCTCTCTTCACTTTAGTTCGATACTCTTCGGAAACACCCAGACAGCAGTCTCTTAGTTTCAGGATCATAACAATATATCCAGCTTTCGTCACCCGTAAGTACATCGAACACAGCATTTGAGTCACCTCCGTTAAGCCTTTGAACCATTTTACGACACCAATCAACACGACGGAGTTTTTGGGCCTCTGTCAAATTATGAGGTATCCACCGGGCACAAAGTCTCCTGACCGCTAAATCTTCATGGAGGAATTTGTGCACTTGACTTATACCGATGCCTAAGCTTGTCTGAATCTGATGATAAGTTACTCTTTTGTCAGTCTCTATCATACGCCACAGAACACTGATGTTATCTTCAGTCGTCGCCGTAGAAGGCCGTCCCTCATGCAGATCATCGGTGAGATTAGTGTGACCACGTTTAAACTCATTAAACCAGTTGTAAACAGTGGCACGAGATGGGGCTTCATCGTGAAAAGCCAATCGAAGTCTATCATAATTTTCTTGTTTACTTAAATGACATTGAAAGTCATAAAAAATCATTGTACGAAAATTTTCTCGCGTTAAATTCATGCTGACGTGACACAGACAATTTAAATTTGCCGCCAAATTGTAAACAAATGACAAATTAATAAAATACGTACACAATAACATTGGCGAAGAGTTCCATTTTCAAAATTTGAACTTATTTTTTTATTATATCGTTTACAAGTGGTCTACCACTTTTGTAAACAGTAGCGAAGTGCCCTTTCTTTGAACATAGTTGACATTTTGCGCTAAAATCAGGGCATTTTATGCGTTGATGTTGATTTTTATTGCCACAAAAAACATCGCTTACGTTGACTTGCTGCAATGGCTATGCTATAATTCTCTGTGCTACTTTCTGGTTTTTCATTGTAAGTATCAATTACAGCATGTAATTGCATTTGAGTATTAATGCAGTTTAAGTAAAATAATTTTTTCAGCAGTTTCTAAAGATGGAACTTGATTTTGGACTTCCTCCATTGTCAAAGTTATGTTTTCTGAAAACCTTTGTTGTATCTTTTGACTTGCGATACCCGATATGAAGGTATCACGAATATAGTCATTCTTATTTTATTCCGCCGTTACGTTTTTGAAATTACAATTGTATGCTAATTGCCTGAGAGCTCGGATATATTCAGTAATAGACTCCTCTGGCTTTTCTTTTCTGGTTGCTAGAGTATATCGTGCATGTATCTCATTTTTAGCCTTTATATAAATGCTATCAAGCAATTGAATGGCAATCACATAAGAAGAACAGTCACGTATTAGTGATTATACTGTCGGCGACAGATGTTTGACGAGCAATTTTTACTTAGTTGAAACATAAATCTCATTTGATTGTTCGTGGCATACAACATTTGAAAATGTATACCACCAGTGACTCCATTTTAGGCATGCTATATATATATATATATATATAATCCAAACTCTGACTGAGAAGAGGGGGAGGGGGTATATGAAAATGATGTCACTATAGTATGACTTCGTTTTTCAAAGACAAGACATCGCTTTCTATCGTTAAAATCACTGACTTAGAAGTATATGGACTGGGCATACCTACAGAATTAGCGTGACTACCTAAACAAATCTGGCGCATAAAATCGCCATCTTTTATAGGGTTATAACTCAGCAATATGGGCAGCTGATATCGATATTGTTACTAATATGAGTTTGTTCTTATTTCACATAATTATAGAAATTAAATCCGTAGCCTAATTGCGCAACACACCTAAAATGGCAAACCATACCAATTTAACGGTTTAACAACATCCATTGCGTGGTTTCTGTTGTCGAGCAAACGAATTTTTCAATCACATGAAGCAATGGATATTGTTGGGTTGTTAAATTAGTTTTGGATTGCTTTCCCTTAAATTTCGGTTGAGCTGCTTCACCAGGCTTCACCGCATATGTACACTTACGCAATGCATACTCTGCTAAAGATTTTTTGTGTTAGGTACACAGTCAAACAATGAGTTAAGTATGCAGGCAGCTAACTTGCAACTTGTTTTAAACAATGTTCTGAGTGTGCTAAGTGCTTACTCAAGTTTTTAAGTTACATTTTTTTTGCGCGTTTGAGAAAAATTATGAGAGTGAATTTTTTACAACGTCAGTTGGTAATTGTCTGTCAATTAAGTTTTTGTGAGAACTGATAACTATATTCGAGGTAGTTATTCAAATATATATGAATGTATAAAACGTGTTTTATTTTAGTTATTTTTGTTTTGTTACGCTAAAGAAGTATAACTTCTTACGTGCGTACATAAGTAAACACACACGTTTTGTTTTATATCAATATGAACAAAGTCAAAAAGTTATAACGCACACAATAAAAATTAATATTGACCGAGTAGTGGGAAAATGAATATTTTTTTGCATGTATACGAAATACCTTTGTTTACTGTACAGTAATATTGTACGGTAAACAAAGGTATGGAGATGGTATGGAGATCCTTCATCCCATATTATAGTATTTTAATATAAAATAATAATGATTAGTTGAGTAAAAATTAAATCAACTGTCTTAAAAATCTATATTTATTTATTATTAATTGGTATATATCAACGTTCTGCACATAATTGATCACAAATGGTAAGTTATACAAGCATGTTCGGTCCTGCTGGATATCATATTGAATTTTTTTTATTCAGATTTTAAATAAAATATATTATTATTTTTCGCAGGTACATTCATTTTGTTCATTTAAAATTCGAAAATCTGGCATTTCATGAAACGGTAGATGAAATATAATATCCAGGATTTATAAACTATTATTATTATTAATAATATTCATTTCTGAACAAAATTATTAATTTATTAAAATAATTTCTATACGACATCATAGATAATAGTGTACGACACTATTTCACTGCTTTTTGACAGTTTGACAGCAGATCTACCACAAAACTTGGCGCTTAACATGGCGATGCAGTCACGCATCATAGACATAGGCATGGATAAGCAAATGACGTCACACGAAAGTATTACCAAAATAAGCACTTTACAAACTGTAGTTGTCTCTCTTTTCTATTGTAGCAACTGCTTTGTTAAAAAGAGACAAAACTGTTTTTGACAAGTGTTTGTCGATATTATAGTTATTTGTATAACTATTATTTCTATAGTGGAATATACCCTCTTCATAGGTATATATTATCTTTATGGTTAAAATAACCTCTTTGAGAATATCTTTTTGAAAATGAAATGTCACTTGAACACACATTTATAATAATATATCTATGCTTGAACTTGACAGCACAGTGTTAAAATATTGTACATTTACTTGGCGACTTGGCGCATTTATTGCTACCATAGAAATTGCAGTGAATTGCAATCATTTTTAAGCTTTTTACACTTTATTGCGATATTCAGGTGGTACTGGTTGATCATTTTTATCACAATTTCATGTAAGCAAATGCATAATAACATCAAACAAACTATTTTCTGTCTTTAACTTTTATGTAAGAATTAAGCTCCGTGCACTGGCTTTTAAGTTTAAACGGTTTTGTGCAAAACAAAAATCACGGCGTCCCAAAAGTCTGAAGAATCTGCTCATGTAGAAGCAGATAAATGGATTAAAGTATGTTAATGGCACAGGAAAATGTCATTACTTCTTTACTACCCCTTAGTTTTCTAGTGACATATTGTGTATTTTAGATGCCAGCGGCTAGTTTTGGACCGATGTCGCAAATTCCTCCTAACGGCGACTGTGGCATTAAAGATGTATGGAATCATAATCTACATGAAGAATTTCAGATAATTAGACAGGTTGGTTATGTTTAAAGTATGATATTTTTAGTAAAATTATTACATATGAAGTATTCCATGCGTAAGTGTGCATAGTACACAGTTTAGTATAAATGGTAGAAACAATAAATTTTGTGATAATTAATAGAATTAGGCATTACGTTATGGAAATTCATTATATTAAAGTTGTTAAAAATTATTTTATTAGTTGATCTTCAAACTAGGTAAAACAACATTTTATTTCATATAAGCAAATTAATTTCCAACAACTTAAGTGCATTTTGTTTCAAAATGGAACTATAGGTAAGTAATATATTACGATATAGTAAGTATAGACTAAAGTAAAAGTAATATATGAATATGAATATGAACTAGAATTTCAATAGAAGTCTGTAATAATAAGTATCTGTCCACTCTGGTTAAGGTAACATTATATAGATATAGTAAAGTCAAAGGTTAAATACCTTATTATTTTTCAGTAAGATTTAACCTTTGCCTGCCCCATTGTTCCAGTGGTTGTAAGTGTAGCACTTATAAGAAGGGATGCAAGAAGTGCCAATAAGCATTTTCTGAAAATATTGATACAAAATTGTTATATCGATATGTCAGTGTAATTTTCTAAAACATATTTGTACTTTATAAATTTCTATTGTGTTGGATTTACAGGTCTAGTTCAATAAATCTGTCAGTGTTACTATTAACATAAATACCAAACTAGAAAAATCATTTCTGATGATCTAGTAAAATTATAAATTAATAAAACATTGTTAAAAATGTTAAAGGATGTTAAAAATGCCTCATAAACAAACAAAATAGAATATACAATTACAAAATGCACTTATGCAAACCAGTACTTATCCAAGAAAAACTAAGTTTTATGTGCTTTGCTGAAAGACTGCTTCTGCTAAGTTTAACAATTGATGTCTCTTTCTCTGATGAATCTGAGGATACATTAGGTACCAAATAATTTGGCGCTATTTCTGAAAAGACGTGAAATGTCAACTGTTAGTCCAAAATTTTTACGGATTATCTAAATTCCAGCGGTTTTAGTTAGTGGTGAAAACAGATTTGATTCTGGAAATATATCGTATTTGATACATTTTCAATAGTTGATATTTTATATCAATAAACCGAAATAAAAGGTATTGCCAAAAGATATCAATCAATAACAAAAAAATATGGATAAAAATATCAATCACTTCTAGGGTCTTTCATCTTGATTCGATTGATCAACATTGGAGCCTTAAGAATGCCAAGAAGGTTCATTGGTAGAAGAATGGAATTTAACACCAAAAGTTATACTGGAGCTTCAGCCTTATGGTGCTAACAACATTTTGCTTAAACTTATTATTTCGTATTTTAGTTATAGAAGAAAGTAATTATGAGTGGTAATAGCTCTTAAAGGTCGTCAGTTTTTTTTTGTATTAATGGACATTCCTCAGTGAATAATGCTATTTCAAAATTAGTAGATTGGCTTAACATCAACAATTTACAATGAAATGGCAACAATACTAATGGTATAATCTAAAATCCAATGTGTCATGATGCAAAACTTCAGCAGAGCTCCCATGTATCTAAACTAAAAAACAGGCTAAGCTAATGCTTTAAGAAAGATTAGAAATCACTACTATTGAGACAGCTAGATTAGATTATTTCAGTTATTTTCAGAGCATTATGTCATATTGTATTTGGCTATGGGGAAAAGAAACTGACTTAGAAACTATTTTTGTTTTGCAGAAGAGGACCATAAAAGCTATTTGCAACCTGAAACCGAGTCTCAGAGAAAATTTTAAAAAGTAAATATATTAATTATGGCCTCTGAGTATATTTATGAAAATTTAATGTATGTTCACAAAAACAAAAGCAGTTTTAAACAAAATAGTGGTGTACACTGTAAAAACCAGGAACAGAGTCCGAATTCATTCATGGGACAACATATATAACATACAAATCCCAGAAAATATACAAGGTATAAAAGTGTTACTATAATATAAATGAATACATGGTTGATAATAACCCCTCGGAATGAGGTTGCCCTTTTCAAGCCGTTTCTTAAATAAGTTTTTTAAGTACGATCAATCTACGGTAAGTCGGCCACTGTCTGTTCCGACGGTCTCTGTAATCCGACCTGCTGAATATTTATGTACGACAAATTTTCGTCAATGCATGATGGAACAAATTATATCTTGTTTCGTGGCTGCGTGGTGTAGATGCGTGCTATGTCACTCTGTCAGTTTTCTTGTGGTGGCGTTGCAGGCGATGAAGTGGGTATGCATAGGCTGAAGAAAATAATGCATCTTATACTTCTCAGGAGGCTCTGAGACAAGGCTTTACTCTTGTGTTTTGACAAAAACAAAAGAAAAGGGATGATTTTTTTCATACAACATAAATTTATTTGTTACGACATAAATAAGTACTTGATTATAATGTTTTACATTTATATACAATGTTTTGTTTATACTTTTTTATAACTGATATATGATATGATAGAGTATATAAAAAGTAAATAACCATCGCATAAATGACGGGCTGTTTTCCGCAACACCACGTCTAAGCGCGTATTTTGCGTGTGGGCAGTAATAATGTGATTATTCAAGCCATGAAATCTCCCTGTTGAAGTTCAACAGTCCTTTGATGTTGCATGCAACTTCGGGGAGTGATCACGGCGTGCCACGAGATGTTTAGCCCCTGTAACAGCTACCTCCAGACATGTCATCAACACGTGGGCCGCTGTTTCTTCCTCCCCCATACATGCTCTGCACAATGTGTAACACTCATGGAAAATGTTTGTTAAAGGAGCCCTGTGATATCACTTGTTACTATTCTGATCTGCAGCTTGTTCGGTTTCGTTAGAACCTTGTTTATACAACTGTTTATTTCAGGCATGGCTTCCCTAGCTTGCCTACAGTCTACTAGATTTTTTCAAAGCTGAGGGTGTTAGTCAGTGAAGTTTCTACATATCAGTGAACAAATGTTACCAAAGGGGATTAGAATGATTGGTTCCGGCCCTATAGTGGCCAGAGCCGATCCTCTTCTGGCCAGTTTGTCTGCTGCATTGTTGCCTCTGGATCCTCTGTGTCCCTTTATCTATTGCAGAGTCACATTGCTGTATTTACATTCCTCATTTAATAGTTGATGGCATTCATATATTAGTCCCGAGTTGACTACATTGCTAGTCAGAGCTTGTAGACTGTAGTGATACCAGTTACTTGACCCCAGAGAGTCAGTAAATCATTCTCAGGGTAATGTATGCATATGATATATACCAATCAATCGTATCTAACACAGATGGGAATAGGCAGTCGAGTCCGCCTTGGTGGTTAGTTTGGATATAGCAAAGGCCTTTGATATGGTTTGGCATAGAGTGCTTCATTCAAAGCTTCCCCATTATGCGCTTCCCGAGAAATTAGAAAATTGGGTCACCAGTATTTATGCAGATCAGACTGTTAAGGTTTTTGCATGCTTTAACCCCAAAACTCCCCTATCCTGTTACTTCTGTGAGTAACATTCATTGCTATGCAGATGACAGCACTGGCGATACTTTATGCACCGGCCTTGCTAATATTTCTCGGCAACTCTTTGTCGATGCTGGAAGAAACTTGTGTTGAAGTTGAGTCTTTGTTGAACAAAGTTACGGATTGACAACTAAATGTAGTCCAGTTTAATCACCAAAAGAAACAAGTTTGCGAGTTTACCGCTAAAAAGAGCACCTTTGTCATATCTCCTCAATATCAGGGCTTGTTGCCCCTAGCCAGCTTCGGAATCCTCGGCCTCGATATATCGAATGATGTTAAGTTCCGCGGTTACATGAAAGGGAAGGCCAAATTGGCATCTAAAAAGCTTGGCTTGCTTAGTAGAGCGGGCCAGTATTTCACACTGCTTGCAACTTTATAAGCCGCAAGTTCGGCCTCATCCAACGTTACCAACAACCAAGTTATTTCCAAGATGTTAAAACTCGCGATACCACCCATACCATCTGGAAGTATGGCGGTCCATCGCACAACTTCTTGCGGAATCGGAACCTTCAAGAAAAGAGCTTACTCTTTTTAAATGGCCGGCAAAACACCTGTAATTTTCCTTGGTGTTGCAGTTGTTTGTTCAATTAACTGTCAGGTGAGCCGCATGCTCGTTTATTCCTTCTCATATAAAAATAAATACTTATGAAAGTCCCAGAAAGTATACAAGGTATCTCTATTACTAAGTTTAAATATTTTATTATACAAAATTTATATAAAAAGGGTTAATTTAATATAAATGAATACATGGCTGATCAAAAAATAATTGTACAAACTATTTTATACTGTATAATGTTAATGTGGAAAGAAGGTCCCGCTGGGTTTCTTGCTGGTTCTTTCCAGAGGCTTTTCTTCCGAACCAGTAGTAAAAATTATAAAATGACTTTAAATAAGAGTTACTTGCAATTTATTAAAGAAATATTTATAATAAACTAGCTCGTCAGGCAGACGTTGTTCTGCCCTTTCCGACAACCTTTCCTATAAAAATCCTTAAATTCTCAATAAAAATTTTGAGGGTCATTTATCGGGATAGAAACTATGCTATCTCCCAAATTGGACCAAACTGCACACAGTGTGCGAAATTTCATTGAAATCAGTTCTGTAGTTTAGGAGTTCATCGTGGACATACAATGTGACACATAATTTTTATCATCATCATTATCATCATTACAGCCCTTCACAAGTCCACTGCTGAACATAGGCCTCCCCCAAAGAATGCCACAAAACACGGTCCTGAGCCACCTGCATCCATCGACTTCCTGCATGTCTTACCAGGTCGTCACTCCATCTCGTGGGGGGACGCCCTACACTTCGCCTACCGGTACGAGGCTGCCACTCGAGAACCTTTCTTCCCCATCGGTTGTCGGTTCTTCGAGCTATATGGCCGGCCCACTGCCACTTCAGCTTACTAATCCGTTGGGCTATGTCGGTCACTCTGGTTCTACTGCGGATATCCTCATTCCTAAGTTTATCACGCAGAGAAACTCCGAGCATAGCCCTCTCCATAGCTCGCTGAGCGACCTTGAGCTTCCTCATACGGCCAGCAGTGAAGGACCACGTCTCAGTTCCGTAAGTCATCACTGGCAACACGCACTGGTTGTACAATTTCGTTTTAAGGTTTTGAGGTATGTCTGACGAGAAGATGTGTCGTAGCTTCCCGAACGCTGCCCAGCCGAGTTGAATCCGTCGATTGACCTCTCGGTCGAAGTTGGACTTACCCAGTCGGACAATTTGTCCCAGGTAAACATACTCGTCAACAACTTCGAGCTTAGTGTTCCCAACAACTATCGGCATAGGTGTGACATGGACATTAAACATGATCTTAGTTTTGTCCATGTTCATCTTAAGACCTATCCGTTGGGAAACACTATTGAGGTCATTGAGCATAGTGCTTAGGTCCTCCAGCGATTCTGCCATAAGGACTATATCGTCGGCAAATCGAAGGTGAGTGATGTACTCGCCATTGATGTTGATACCGTATCCTTTCCAGTCCAGAAGCTTGAAAACGTCTTCCAATGCAGCGGTGAAGAGTTTCGGGGATATGACGTCAGCCCCCTCTTACACCTCTCTGCAATTGGATAGGTTTCGTACTCTGGTTCTGTACTCGGATAGCCATCGTAGCCCTACTGTACAAGCACTTCAACACTTCGATATACCGACAGTCAACTTGGCACCGCTGAAGGGACTGCAGCACCGCCCAAATTTCGACGGAATCAAAGGCTTTCTCATAGTCCACATACGCCAGACATAGTGGCAAATTGTACTCTTCGGACTTCTGTACAACTTGCCGAAGGGTATGTATGTGGTCTATGGTGCTAAAGCCCTTTCGGAAACCGGCTTGTTCGGGAGGCTGGAAGTCGTCAAGTCTGCGCGCGAGACGATTCGTAATGACTCTCGAAAACAGCACGTAGACGCGGCTCAGAAGGGAAATCGGTCTGTAGTTCTTCAAGAGAGCGTTGTCACCTTTCTTGAAGAACAAGACCACCGCACTTCTGTTCCACGCCTCCGGTGTAATGCCACCATGGAGGACGGAATTAAAGAGCTTCTGAAGGACTTCAAGTACCGGTCTTCCACCCGCTTTCAGAAGCTCCGCTATAATTCCATCCTCGCCTGGGGCCTTACCGTTTTTAAGGTGCTGGAGAGCCATCCTAATCTCGCTCAGACTGACATCCGGGATATCTTCGGAATAGTGTCGGATGAGACTCGCTCTTGGATCGTTACTCACACTTGCGTGTGGCTCCAACGATGATGTGTACAGCTGCCCATAGAACCTCTCAATCTCACTCAAAATCTCAGGTGTCCCGGAAACGATGCTGCCACATTCTGTCTTCAGCTTTGACAGTTGGCTCTTTCTGGCAGACAGATCTCTGGCAAAGACTTTGGAGCCTTGGTTCCGCTCGATCGCTTCTTCAATACGAGCTGTATTGAAGTTGCGTAAGTCCCGCCGCATGCATTTGGAGATCTGTCTGTTCAGATGCCTGTATGCTGTCAAGTCTGTTGAAGAATGTAGCTTCATCTCCCGTCTAACAGCCATGAGATTAAGAGTGTGATCGGAGAGTTTTTGTGTTCTTCTGCGGCGGGTCTTGCAGAACTTAGCTCCAACCGCATGGACAGTTTCCACGAGCTTGTCATTCATATCGTCCACTTCATTGCAGTCTTCTAGGCACTGAAAACGGTTTTGTAACTCGAGCTGAAAGGTTTCGGGACTTTGAAACAGAGCACGAGGGGGACGGAGCGTTGACTTCATTAGACGAGACCTCTCCAACTTAACGTTTAGGTTCAGTGTGCCTCTAACCATTCGGTGATCGCTACCAGTTTTCACCCTCGCGATCACGGAGACATCACTGAACAGTTGTCGTCTGGTCGTCATAATGAAGTCAATCTCATTTTTTGTGGAACCGTCGGGGCTCGACCAGGTCCACTTCCTGTGGGGCCGCTTCTGGAAGAAAGAGTTCATCATAAAGAGTCCCTCTTTCTCCATGAAGTCGGCCAGCTGCTGGCCCCTTGGGTTCCGTTGCCCTATTCCAAATTTCCCTACTTTCAGCTCACCGTTCTCTCTTGTGCCTAGTTTTGCATTGAAGTCTCCCATTAACACCGTATATTGGGTTTTGGAGGAATGCATGGCTCTAGAGATATCCTCATACATTTCCTCCACCTCCTCATCGGGGTGTGCCGAGGTTGGTGCGTAAACCTGTATGACCTTCAGCGAATACCGTTTGGTGATTCTGAGTATAAGGTACGCAACCCTCGTCGACACACTCCCGATTTTTACAACGTTGTTAACGAGAGACTTGTGGACGATAAATCCGACACCTCCTTGGGACAGATGGTCGCCCTCCCGGTGATAGAGCAAGTTGCCGGATTCGAGGATTACCGTGTCCTCCCCCTCTCTTCGGACTTCAGATAATCCTATAATATGCCAGCGCAACTTGTCTATCTCTTCTTCCAGCTCCACGATCTTCTCGTCAGTCCTCAGGGTGCGTGCGTTGTACGTTGCCAGGTCAAGTCGTCTAAGGTGGCAACCGAACCTCCACCGGAGATTCTTAGCACCCCCTGCCCCGCCGTTACCATGGTCGCCACCGTAGCCAGGAATAGCGGGGCCGCCGAGGACTGGGGGCCGTTTTTTTGTTGCTCTCATCATTGGGGGTATTTGCCATAGTTGCCACGCTTGGCGAGCGGGTTGGCAACCGCAGTTTTTTTATTGTCATTTGGCTATTATCAGGAAGATGCTGCTGCCCATCTCCTGGCTGTTTCCCTTTGTCGCCTTTTACGACACCCACGGGAGGATATGGGGTAGTGGATATTCTTGACCGCCACTACACGGCAATAATTTTTATATATAAAGATTATTAACATTCTATTTAATAAAAAGTATTCTCCAATGAATGTAGGAAGATTTCACAGCAAGATAACACTAAATACTGAGTGTGCAAAACATTAGAAAAAGGTTATGCCATTTCCTAGAAAGTTCTCACGATTATTTTCCTAAAATTACCCATCTTATACATTTTTGTTTTGTCTCCAATTTGTTTTTGGTTTTTGCAGTTAATCTCATATTCATAGCTATGCTAACTCATTGCGCCACCAAAAGGCCCAAACTACCAGGCCACCTAATTTAATATCAATGAATTAAAATAATTTACACATAATATTTTGTTCGAATCTAGTATTTTAATTAAACTGCAGTTGATTTACTCAAAAATGATCCAGTTATTGTATATAATATTAATAATAATCACATACATAAACAAGAAGCCGTAATAAAAATAAATAAATATTTAGCGTTCATTTAAAAATTGCATGCTACAAGGAGTTACAGTACAAATTCCATTCCAATTAAGGTATAAATCATATTAACCACTGCATTGCACACCTACATTGAATGGCACATAACACTGTGGCGACGACAGCGCCGCCACAGTGTTATACCCGCCACAACACTAAAAAATGAAAGACCAAATTTAACTTATCCTAACGGTAGTTAGAATATGATGATACTGTGTGTATCTGTGTGAACTTATTTTATCTCGCATATCCCACTAACTAATGGTTTTATATGGTTTATGATATTTATTTTCCTGAAAGATTACATATTTCACTTATAAGAAAATAACAAAAGAAGACTTTAGACTAAAAATGTGTGATATATGTAACATACATAACAATAGTAGAATATGGTCTTTTATAGCATATGTTAACATGTACCTATATTGTGAAAGAACTGTAATAATTCTATATTGCTGATGAAATAAACATACTACAAAAAAAAAATACAAATTTTTGCTTTACATTTTTGGAGAAATTATGATTTTAACTAGAAATCAATCTTTTGATTATAAATTTGATGTATTCCTTAAATTCCATTTAGCAATTTTTGATAACAAAAAAAAAACCCACTAAATCTTTCAAATAGTCACCAAATGGGAATTTTATTTAATTGTTTTGACATACTTGGTCAGCCAGTTTTTATTTTGGCAGCAAACAAGACATGTAAATTCATTGTCATATCGAAAATATCTGAAAGAAATATAGGTTGTGAAGAACTGTAAAAGGGCAAAACCAATCCAGATATATGGGTCACCAAAAGTACTACCACCTTCTGGAAATTACAAGGTCGAAGGTGTAGAAATACCAAGGAAGAGATAAAGATATGACTTTGTCCCCACCTTTGTTTAGAATGGTACTATATCGCAAAAGATTGCATGGGGTGAATGATTCCTTACTTTAGGAAAAGCCTTTGTAGACTTCACCAACGCCCGCTGGAAGTAGCAAGGCCGACTAAATTTTCCTTAACCCTCTACATTGGCTTGTGCCTAATAGTGGGATGAATACATATACTGTAACTTTGCATTTACTTAGACACACATTGAGTTAAACAAGTCTTATTTTTTACATTATTAATATTTTGGTAACTTTTAGAATAACTTAAGAAGTAGTTTAATTCTGTCTTCTTTAGGTTGTGCAGAAATACCATTGGGTGGCAATGGACACTGAATTCCCAGGAGTAGTGGCACGCCCAATTGGGGAATTCCGATCCACGGCAGACTACCAGTATCAGTTGCTCAGGTAAATAAATATTATTTCTTTTACTTCTTTGTGACTTGTATTTATAATTGTTTTAATGGTTATTATCAGTACCCGTACATCTATATTTAGTATTTTTTATGGGATAAGGGTGACAAACAAGCAATCAGTCCACCTGATGGTAAGTGGTTGCTGATTTGTAAAAATATGTTACGGCAAAAAGCCGAAGTGTGGTTTACACCTAGTTCTAGTCGGCTAGAACTAGTTGCGGCCAGCAGTGGTTGGTTAAATTTAGGTGTACTGTTAAATTTGTAAGAATACGGAAATACATATCAAGTAATACCAGCGACAGTAGGTTTAGCTACACGCGTACATTTATTTAATAATAATAATAATCTGCATTCGTTTTTAGTTGCTTACTCCTTATCAAAATTTTATAAACACGAGTCACCCATTGCAGCTTATATTATTAATATGCTGTAGGTACTAAAAAATTTAGAGCCATCCAGAATGTCGAAAATTGCTGATTGATTTAATAATGTTTGCTAACCATGGTTTGCTGACCAACTATGTATTTCTGCTGCTACATTACATTTATCTGCTGACAAAAACGTCAATACTATGCTAACCCTTTAAATAACACCGTAAGTATAATATGTATGTACACAACTTTTAATTACTAATAATTACTATAATTATTATTATATATTATTGGTTTATGTTATGAGTTTTACATTTGTAGGTGTAATGTCGATCTATTGAGGATAATACAACTTGGTCTCACATTTATGGATGAGAATGGAAAAACACCTCCAGGATATACAACTTGGCAGTTTAATTTCAAGTTTAATTTACAGTAAGATCTTTAAATTTACCTATGAACTTTATTATATTTGTTCAATCTTAACTAATTATGTAACGAAACATGTTTTAGGGAAGATATGTATGCACAAGATTCGATTGATTTGCTTCAAAATTCTGGTCTACAATTTCGAAAACATGAAGAAGACGGCATTGAACCATTGGAATTTGCTGAATTACTCATGTCTTCAGGTTATAATCTTGCCTATTTATTTCAATAGATTAATTTAAATTTATTGAGTTGACTTTAAAAATGGAGGAAAGAATTATACAATACGACTGTATGTATGATATGCAATGTGTTCGTCAATTGTGAACCGATTTTGATGATTCTTTTTTTATGAACTAGGTTATGTGTGGTTACATGTTAATTAAGAGAATAAAGTCTACCCCGAAGCGTGGTATTGAGATTGAAATATTTCGTAGTTCCTCAAAAGGGCAAAAAATTACTTTTAATAAAAAGTAAAAGCCGACTTCAAAGAACTGAAATAAATATTTTTACACATGCTACCTACTTGAAAGAACTGAAAAAAAAAATTCATTTTCCAACAATTGTGAAATTATTTTATTGTTTTTAGTTATTTGAAATCTTTGGTTTTGGTTTTTACATTTTATCTGCAAGTAAGTAGACAGAGAAAGATGCGAGTTAAGCCGGGTTTATATTTGTCTGATGTGTTGCGTCGAGCCGGGCTCTGACGTGATTTCACATCTATAATTCGTGTTCTGACGTGCTCTGGCGATATTTTGAATCAATATAGTCGTAGCTTTCGTAGACTTCATACGTTCCCAATGTTTTTCCACGTATCATCCGACTCTGATTCAGATTATGAAGAAGATATTGGGTTCATCCAGTAAATAATAAAATAGAGTCTAAAGGCGAGTTTCACTCTCTCATTAAAGGGCTTGAGAACGATGCTCAAAGATTTCATCAGTATTTTAGATTGTCAAAGGGACAGTTCGAGAAAGTACAGTCCTTAATTGGAACGGACATAAAAAAAATAGACACGAAGTTTCGTAAACCTATAGGTCCAAAAGAAAATTCAAAAAAGTACCTATATTTTATATCAGGACAAAGATACAAGTCAATAAAAGATAGAATCAATAAAATAGCAGCACTTACTATCAGTAAGACTGTTAGCACATTTATCGCTTTATTTTTAGAAATAAAAAAACTTAAACCAACCACTGGCGGCAGCAATAAAGCGATTAGGCATTAACCAAAAACCGTTTTATAAGCTCTACCAAGCTGCTCCACTTAGACTGATCCCCAGCTTTATTGTTGGTAGGAGTCCTTTTTCGCCCATTAGTCTGGGTAGGTTCCACGCTCTTACCTATTTAATAAATATGATGGGTATTTAACAAATATGTGGCGGCGCTGTCGTCGCGCCACAAGCGAAACACATCGTAGCCTAAATCGCGTTAACAAAGTTCCGATGTTAAAGCAGTATATATAGAATAGCTCCGAACTACCACTCGGAGCGTTGGCCGCTCACCGGGCGGAACACCTTACCCGGCGGGAGATCTCCCCTTTTCCTTCCACTGGCCACACTTGTGACCAACCGACGTGATATGAACACGCAACCAACAACCTTCAGAAAACTACAACTTTCAAGCCTTCGTCATTATCCTCAAGAACCCCTACCATTCCTACTAGCCTAGCTCCTGCAAGCCAGTCCAACTTGTCTTCTTCTCGACTCACCGCAAACTACAAGGCAATCCCTGGCACTTGCTCCGGCTCATCGTTCTCACCGGCATCATTTGCAAGTGCGTAGTACGGCATACATTATACACCGGCATATCGTTCGCTCCGGCGTCACTTGCCCTTACGCACACAGCATGCGTGCATGTATTAAGGACACACCGGCAATCGGACTGCATGCTATCGACCTCCGGTCTGAGCAGGGGGGTGATGTGGCGGCGCTGTCGTCGCGCCACAAGCGAAAACACATCGAAGCCTAAATCGCGCTAACAAAGTTCCGAAGTTAAAGCAGTGTATATAGAATAGCTCTGAACTACCACTTGCCCGGCGGGAGATCTCCCCTTTTCTTTCCACTGGCCACAAATATGACAAAAAGGCCAAGGAGCTCTTCCTTGTTGGTTACGCTGACAGCATTAAAGGCTACAGGCTATTTGATCCCTTAACATTTACAGTGACAATAGCAAGAGATGTCATAGTAATGGAACAAGAAAATGAAAGTATGACATCACATGTGATAGTGCAAGAAAAATGTGAAGACATACAGGATTCAGTGGGGGAAGAACAATCTAAACGTGATTCTGATATGAACCATGAAGAAATTATGAACATGATTTGACGTTATGTTCCCGACGAAGACTCGAGTAACTCAGATGACAGCTTCCATGAATCATTGACATTGACATCATATGACAAAGAGGTCAGTGCTCAGCAATAAAGCACTGAGATATCGGAGAAACTTACCAGGTGTAAACCAGAGTACTATGACTATGCGAGCTTGTGTATTGTGGATACATTCTCTGGAGAATAAATATCTCTGGGTGATGCTGTGAATGGACCAGAATGGTAGCAGAATTGGTGGACAAACCTGTGAGTAAAACAGTGGTAAAGTGCAAGTGGGTGTTTGAGAAAAAGGTCAATAGTGAGGGTGAAGTGAGATATAGAGCTAGTCTTGTGGCAAAAGGATTCAGTCAGAAAAAGGGTACAGACTTTAAGGAAACCTTCTCCCCTGTGCTCAGGTACTCTATCTTAAGATTACTATTTACTTTAAGTGTTAGATCAAATAAAGAAATGCCTTGGTATGAGGGTAACTGTGAAAAATAATTGTATTACTTTAGATTAGATATATTAGATTAGATAGAAATATGTCTAATTGTAAAGGTTCAGATACTCCAATGGAAAAGACTTTAAAATTAGAAAAGGCTGAAATGATTTATCCAGAATATCCTTATCAGGTTAGGTGCATTAATGTATTTATGTGTGTTAACTAGACCAGATACAGCTTATGCTATTAGTTTCCTTAGTCAATATAATAATTGCTGTAATCAGATACATTGGAAACATTTAAAACGGGTCTTAAAATACTTAAATAAAACTAAACATTATGGATTAAAGTATGTAAGAAATCATAGTGATATTAAAGGTTATGTTGATGCAGATTGGGCTTCGTGTGTAATAGACAGAAAGTCATATACTGTGTTAATTTTTACCATGTCTGGAAGTCCAATATCTTATGAGTGTAGAAAACAAAAAAAAAACTTGCATTGTCAAGTACCGAGCCCGAATATATAGCTCACTCTGAGGTATGTAAGGAGGCAATTTACCTTAATAATTTAGTTAAGAAATCTATACATATAATAAAAATGTAAAAAGCAGACGTCTGTACATTTTAGATTTTTGTAATAAAAGTGATTGAGAGGTACTAAAAATAAGTAACTAAATACATTTCTACCATTTTTAGAATTTTCTGTCTGTCTGTCTGTCTGTCTGTCTGTTTGTTTGTTAACGTATCACGTATAAAGTACTAATTTATATCATAAGAATCATTAAGGAAAATATAAAGTATATCTTCGTGTTACATTTAGTCTTTATTTTATTAAAATCAGTTCATTCAATCAAAAGTTATGATAAATATTCTGAAGTATGAATACGAAGTATAGGTACGAATTTGTTCAACGGTGGCGTTGGTTGAGTCATCAAGTGCATTTTAAACTAATACTATATCATAAATCATAATTAAATTAGGTAAAATAATGTTCTATAATGATATAATTATATCTAAAATGCAGTAAACAAAAGTATTAAAGAACGTATTAAATAAAATAATATACAAAAATATATTATAAACTTATTAATTAATCTAAAGTGAAATAGTTAACCAATTTCATCGATAGATGGCGGTATGGTCAAATGTAATATAAAAAGGCGTTTTGCTTACTATACAGACACTGGTTTATAAGTTCTTTTATGTTTTATATAATAATGTACCCAATTGCGTCAATTAATCTCTTTTATTTTTAGAATTGATTGCTGTTAGCAGCGCCATCTCTCTTTAAATATATACTTATAATAAAAATGGTGATAACATGTTGTGTCTGTTTTTGTACATTGTTTTTATATATATAATAATGTACTGTATGTATGAAAATAATTAAGTAAACACATTTTTATAATTTTTAGAATTGTCTGTCTGTCTGTCTGTTTACTTATAAACGCATCACATCTAAAGTAAAAGAAATCGTTAAGAAAATCATAAAGCGTATCTTCAAGTTACATTTAATTTTTGTTTTATTAAATTTGGTTAATTCTATCGAAAGTTATGATTATTAGTTTAAAATGTAGGTTCTAATTTGTTCAATGGCGCCATAAAATCTCAGAAAAAGTAATAAAAAGATTTGTGTGTAAAAAAACGTTCTATAATAATATATTTATACTTAAAACAAAGTAAACAATAAAAAAGATGTTTTCCTTAAATTAAAAAAGTTTTCTCACAACGAACGTAATAGATGGCATTGTACAAATTACATTCTTTTCTGAATTGCGGCGTTAAGATACTCCGAATCGTATTGAGACTCATTGACGTGCAGTCAGTCTCACAAATAACCATACATTACGCAGAACCAATGTAGATATTATATATTTTCAATTTCAATTTCAACTTAATAAATTAAATTAAATGATATATATTATGAGTTATAAATATATATGTATATATAAGTAAAATAGTCAATTTATTTTGTATCAGATTATAATGAACATACTAATATCCGAAATCACAACTTCCCACAACTCAATAGCGAACTCATATCCCAACTTCAAAGGGTGCTACATGAAATAAATCCATACGTTCAGTTTTAGGGTTGCATTGCAATCGATCCGTCAAGATTTAATAAACAATTATAAAATAGTTATTAACGCTGACAGGCGTCCTGTTACTAAAAAAAAAGTTACTGAACACCGCGGTAGCAACGTTCCTGTCACTGATGAAGTGGCAGTGGTATTAGTTGACCAGGAGTGCGATAGACGTGACATCGTGTTGCACTCACATGACGATCCACTGCCAGGGATTTATGAAACGCATCGATATTATGATGCTCTACAATATCCATTAATATATTGTCACGGTGAAAATGGGTACAATTTCGGAATTTATCAAGTTAATCCTAATACCAGAGAGACCAATTTTAATAAAAAAATATTTGCTCTGCAATTTTATTCGCACCTGTTACATGTAAGGCATATATCTTCTTGCGTATCTGCAAAAATTTCGGGGGTTGTTTTACCAATTTATAGTGGACATGTATGCGAAAATAGAGACGGAGCGCTTAGTGTATATACGCACTAACCAGAGACGTCTGTTACACTGACGTCTAATAAGTGATATTGACAGAGTAATGATATAAATCGTTTAATATTTTCTTACCTGAATGTCAAATTCTCCAAGTAAAACCTATATACGCGAGCTACGCCGCGGGCACAGCTAGTTAATAATAAAGTTGATAATATGTCAGTTATTTTATTAAGTGATAACCAAAGTTTACAGAAGTTAGCATCTAATCCTTTGTTTCACAGAAGGACAAAACACATTGATGATAGGCGTTATTTTTTAGGGAGTGTTTAGCAAATAATTTAATACAATTACGTATATTTAATACAATTAGCAAATAATTTAATAACTTTTTACGTGGTAGAGCCTTGCTGCAGCTATATTAATAGTATAGTTGTAACACGAATAGGTCGACTCGACCGGGGAAGGACCACCCTCTCACAGAATACCAGCGTAAAATAGCAGCTTAATGCTGCTGCGTTTCGTATGGTGAGTGTAGAGAACCGGAGACCCTTTTTACTGGCAAAGAGGCATTCCATCTTAGTCCTCACGGCTGACAACACATCTGTATTTTAATTCGCAAACGAAGATAGATGCAGATGTCTATGGACCACAGCAACCACTTACCATCAGGTGGACTGTGTGCTCGTTTGTCACCCTTATTCTATAAAAAAAAAACATATGTCCTATTTATCTTCTGCTGAGATGCCAGCGGATATGTTAACAAAATGCCTGTGTCATGTAAAGCATTATTTTATGAATAAGATACGGTTGTCACAAATAAAATAAATAATTTATTTCTGGAAAAAACTTTTATTTGGAATATGTATATATCTTTGTGTTGTCATTATGTTTATAAGTGGGGTTGTTATTTGTAATCTATGGTTATATAAAAATAATACCTTGTCTATAGCGCAACTATGCTGTTGTAACTTACCGTTATTCAAATAAAAGAGTATGTTCCAAACTGCTACACGAGTTTTATTTTATATTAATAGCAGGTACCTTTAAAAGCAAAATCAAGAGGTTTGTTTGCTACTAGAGAGTTATATTGGCTGTCACACTCATGTTTATACTACAGTAGAACCTTTTAACTCGCTATCGCAAGATGTCTATCAAGTATACAAAAGTAGAAAAGTAAAGAAACCTAATCCTTCTACCACGGCTGAGCAGAGTTCTGAGAAGCTTTATGGAGCAGAGGTTTGGGAAGGTTAAAACGTTCTGCTGCATGGTTGGTCAAAGTTCTGCATGTCCTCAATTTTTTTTTCTAAATCATCCAGGTTTTCTCTTAACGGTGTTTCCTAAAATCAGCACATAAAATTAAGTAAAAAAAATTCTTTGATGACAGGAATCGAACTTAGTTTGCTTGCGTACTATTTTCATTTTTAAGAAAAACATCTGTAATACATATTTTATGTTTATGGAATTTCAGGTCTTGTACTCATGGACAATATTAAGTGGCTCAGTTTCCATTCTGGCTACGATTTCGGATATTTGCTTAAGCTATTGACAGATCAAAATTTGCCGCAAGATGAAAATGACTTTTTTGAAAGCCTTCGCTTGTACTTCCCAACAGTGTATGATGTCAAGGTGTGTTCTTTTTTCTTTATTGTAATAAGTAATTACTTCACGTTTAGTTTACATAATATTTATGAAAACATTACTGCCCATGTACACAAAGCTTTTGAGACATCGTATTATACCAATTGCATTTATTTTATTTGGCAGTATTTGATGAAATTATGCAAGAATCTAAAAGGCGGGTTGCAAGAAGTGGCAGATCAGCTGGAACTGCGACGTGTAGGACCACAGCATCAAGCAGGATCTGATTCACATCTTACTGGAATGGCATTCTTTAAGATAAAAGAGGTGTGTACTGTGCTTTAATATTTTTGTTATTGTAGCTTTGATGAAATAGAATAAAAAGCTGCCGTTTATATTTTATGTTAATGCGTAAATTCGTTATTCAAGGCCTTCTATAGTAATGTTCCAAATATTTGTACTTTTTTTTTAAAATAAAATTTTAACATCAAAGTTAAGTATATATAGTTAATACCAGTTAGCTGAAATTTAAATGTAAATAAGCTTTCAGAGTTGCCTAATAAGTTTTATAATAACCTTATAATAGGGAGAAGATAAGAGATAATGGGGAAGAAAGATGAATGCAGAAATTTTGCGGTGTTGCGATTGCGATCTATTTGCATTTACGCTTAGTTAGATTGCAAGCTTACGCAGAACGTACATTAATATGCTTTCGCAATTTTGGACTGTTCTTAAAAGTTACACCAAATTCTCGATCATTACATTATATAGTTTTCTGAAGTATATGTTATAAAATCAGTGGCGTAGCGTGCCTTAGATGGGCCTTTGATGGGCATCAAAATTTGTTGGGGCGGCCCCAATGAAGAGTAAAGATTTCATAAAAGGAACAAAACAAGCGTTTTTGCTTTGAATTAAAATTATTACATATTGATTTTAAATTATTACTTACAATTAATACTCCTAGAAACTATAAGCTGGCCAAACAATTCAAATCAAATATATACTCTTCTTGCCTTTTGTTCGGCGAACATAGCTGAAGACGATTTCAGTTTTACTAAATTCTTTGCTTATATAGACAATAGTGATAGCCGTTCCTGTCCCAAAGAAGTCCTTGGAATTTTTGTTTACACACGTTCGGGGCCCCTGTAGCCCGGGGGCCCCGTATAATTTATACGGCTGATACGGCGGTAGCTACGCCCCTGTATAAAATTAATGTCTACCAAGTATCTACTTTTTGAGCTCTTGGTTTCCCAATTAAATAAATATATAATTAAACATCAACAGGTTGTCCAGTCATGTTAAAATTTATTAACTATAACCGAACCATGATCATTAAGAACGTAACCCTAATATATTCGGCTATGATAACACTTGATCATAACTCGATCTTGTTTCTCGATTCGAACGGATCGGGATTAATTTAGGGCTCCTAATCCTAAAGCTAGGTTCAAATGAGTGCTAGTTCGAATCAAAAACGAAGTGAAATAATTTTCGCGAGTAAGCCTGCTGAACGGAAACCGGTCTGTAGGTATTTTGAAATATTGTCATTACTTTTGTTATGTTTAATTTAATTTGCAATTTTTGTCAGATATTCTTCGATGACAACATCGAAAATTCAAGCGGCCATCTATATGGATTGGGCGCTCCGTTCTCCGCGAATGCCAACAGTTTCACAGACAATGGCGAAAACGGAAACTCCTCCTGATCCGCGGAGGCTGGCTGCGTGCCCAGTAGTTTCCTTGTGACCGAGTGAAAACTGCTATCAATAAACATTCGAGTCAAATTATTATCAGTGATCGTAATGAAAATGGAAGTAGAGAGTGATGATACATGAAATAAAAATAACTTGTATAGCGATCTTGTTATTAAGTTGTGACCTTAAAATTTAATGACATATTTTAAATAGCGTAACATATTTTGTCAACTTATCTTTAATAATCTAATTTTTTGTAGTAATATCGATTCATTAATGTAAACAAACACATATATTATATACGACGCATTGTGTACTCTTATTTCGAGCACATGACTAACTGACGACTAGAGTTTGCCAATATAATTGAACCGAATGTTTAATTTATGAAAATCATATACTTGGTAAGTGAATAATGTATTGTAAGGTTTTTGTCTTTCTATTTTATTTGTATAAGGTTATATTTTGTCTGAAATCGAAGAGTTATTGTGTAATAGTACTGTAAGTTTATGTAAAAAAATATAAATTATTTCGTAATTAAAAACAGCAATTATTATTGTTACAAACCCCATATTATTTTAAATAACTGAACTATACGTAAAGGTGTCTTAGTAGTAAACAGTGGTCGTCTAATGCTCGAAATTCGATCGTAATTCATAAGTTTGTATATCAACTTATGAATTATATATTTTATTTTTATTTTTTTTATAGTTTGTATATAATTTCAACTCTCAAATGTATTAACTATGTTTTCAACTGCACATTAATATCTAAAACACAGCTCATGGGCATGCAACTTAGAACATTATTTTACGAACAAAATGATACGTTTTATGTGCTTCCATCTACATTCCGAAGCGCTAGGCTAGACTTATTTTAATCTCACTAGAGGGCACTTATATACGAGGGCTGTACTAAAAGTATCGGGAATGGAATATTTCCACTGTTCCTGTCATATTAAAATCTTTTTAATTGAAAACCCCTTGGTTTTATAAATCGTATACCATTTATTTATTTAAAAAAAGATTCTCGGTCTTGTCACAAGGTTTTGTCAAACTTGTTTAGTCGTTGAGAAAATGGAATTGACTCGAGAAAATTCAAGAGCGATGATTTATTATGACTTTCGAAGTGGTTTAACACAAAAACAGTGTGTTGACCGGATGATTTCTGCATTTGGTGATGAAGCCCTATCCAAAACCACAATTTATCGCTGGTTTGCTGAATTTCAACGTGGACGTGTCAAGCTCAGTGATGATCCCCGTCAAGTTCGTCCAAAAACTGCAGTCACCCAAGAAAACGTTGATGCTGTGCGTAAGCTGATTGAGGAAGATCGACATGTGACATACCACGAAATTCAGGCAACTTTAGACATTGGCATGAGTCAAATACAAATAATCTTGCATGAACAATTAGGTGTAAAAAAGTTGTTTTCCCGATGGATACCGCATTCGCTCTGTGAAGAGCAAAAAGCGGCTCGCGTTACTTGGTGCGTCAGAACTCTCGGAAGATTCCACGCAGGATCCTCAAATGCTGTATACAATATCGCATCAGGTGTCGAATCCTGGATATACGCGTACGAACCCGAAACAAAAAACCAGTCACGAGTTTGGGTGTTCGCACCGTTCATAGTGATGCCAGTCTTTGATTCATGTGTGCGTGAGTACTCGTACCACGTGACGCACATATCTTACGTACCATAGCTGCATTAATTGCGTGACTTCGGTAATAACAGTGAGGATCGATTACCCAAATAATGTGACAGATTTTATATTTCATTCATATTGACGAACCTATTGATTCTACGAGTATAAAATGTGTGTGCGAGGCGTGTGCATTTGTGTGCATGTGTGTATTTGGATATGGTTGGTTATGTGTGTTTTATGTAGGTACGAACATCGCACTAAAATATTGAAGACTAGCTGTTCCCCGCGACTTCGTTCGCGTGTTAGGGTTTTTACGTTTTTGCGCGGAACTCTAATTATTTTTCTAAAATAAAAATAGTCTAAGTTACTCCTTATGAAATCAGCTACCTGCCAGTGAAAGTCCCGTCAAAATCGGTCCAGCCGTTTCGGAGATTAGCAAACAGACAGACAGACAGACAAAATTTTTAAAAATTGTGTTTTGTTATAAGTACCGTATATACTTTTATATGCAATTAGTAAAAAGCTGTAATTTCGACATTACAAACAGACACTTCAATTTTATTTATTTGTATAGATATGTGATAAAACCTATAAATAATGTAACAGTTAAAAATAAATAAAAAAGCACAGTAAATATTTATGTACGTAACATATATTAATAATCTATTATTATTAAGTATATACTTTTGTACTGTAGAACACAAAATATTGCCGCTTTATACGAAGACATTAATTATTTTTCAATCCTAAGTAAAATGACGAAAAAAGTAAGTTTGGTTAAGCGTAAACTTCGGTCAAGAGAATTTAATTTTTTTAAATTGCTTCGTTCCGTTGCTGCGTGATGGAAGGACAAAAACAAATAAACAAAAAATCACACTTTCACATTTATAATATTATATTAGTATGGATTTCGAGAGTCATTACGAATCGTCTCGCGCGCAGACTTGACGACTTCCAGCCTCCCGAACAGGCCGGTTTCCGAAAGGGCTTTAGCACCATAGACCACATACATACCCTCCGGCAAGTTGTACAGAAGTCCGAGGAGTACAATTTGCCACTATGTCTGGCGTATGTGGACTATGAGAAAGCCTTTGATTCCGTCGAAATTTAGGCGGTGCCAAGTTGACTGTCGGTATATCGAAGTGCTGAAGTGCTTGTACAGTAGGGCTACGATGGCTATCCGAGTACAGAACCAGAGTACGAAACCTATCCAATTGCAGAGAGGTGTAAGACAGGGTGATGTTATATCCCCGAAACTCTTCACCGCTGCATTGGAAGACGTTTTCAAGCTTCTGGACTGGAAAAGATACTGCATTAACATCAATGGCGAGTACATCACTCACCTTCGATTTACCGACGATATAGTCCTTATGGCAGAATCGCTCGAGGACCTAAGCACCATGCTCAATGACCTCAACAGTGTGTCCCAACGGATAGGTCTTAAGATGAACATGGACAAAACAAAGATCATGTTTAATGTCCATGTCACACTTATGCCGGTAGTTGTTGGGAGCACTAAGCTCGAAGTTGTTGACGAGTATGTTTACCTGGGACAAATAGTCCGACTAGGTAAGTCCAACTTTGACCGAGAGGTCAATCGACGGATTCAACTCGGCTGGGCAGCGTTCGGGAAACTACGACACATCTTCTCGTCAGACATACCTCAAAACCTTAAAACGAAATTGTGCAACCAGTGCGTGTTGCCAGTGGGATCTGAGACGTGGTCCTTCACTGCTGGCCGTATGAGGAAGCTCAAGGTCGCTCAGCGAGTTATGGAGAGGGCTATGCTCGGGGTTTCTCTGCGTGATAAACTTAGAAATGAGGATATCCGCAGTAGAACTAGAGTAACCGACATAGCCCAACGGATTAGTAAGCTGAAGTGGCAGTGGGCCATATAGCTCGAAGAACCGACAACCTATGGGGAGGAAAGGTTCTAGAGTGGCAGCCTCGTACCGGTAGGCGAAGTGTAGGGCGACCCCCCACGAGATGGAGTGACGACCTGGTAAGACATACAGGAAGTCGATGGATGCAGGTGGCTCAGGACCGTGCTTTGTGGCATTCCTTGGGGGAGGCCTATGTTCAACAGTGAACTTATTAAAGTCTGTATTGATGATGATGATGAGTATGGATTGTCAAGAATGATAGATAAACTTTTGAAACCGGTTTACAATCGGCGTTTTGAGTGTGGAACTATACACTCGCGCTCTTTCTCGCTCTATTAAACAACGGTTCTGAGTGACCAAAAAGGATAGAAGCACAGGAAAGTGCGATTCCGTACTGCCAGATGTAGTTCAACCCTAAACCTTAAAACAGTTTAACTCTATAGGTTGGGTAAAATCTGTAAAATTAGACCGTTTAAAACTCCTATACAGATAACCTTTCCGGTTGATTATGACATTAAAAAATGGTAAAAACATTTCATAGACTAGGCAACACTCGAATATTATTGCGCAGTATTATTACTTGTATTGACATTTAGCTTTCGTATTATTTTACAAAGAAATACACCACCAAATTGTATAGTTACTTATGAAAAGTAATGTTCTTATCCTTATCTTTTTTCCAAGAGTAATTTTTACATGATTTCACAGCATAAACAGTCATTTTGCGAAATTAAAAACACCGGTGCGTGATGTAGGTACCTCTCTACACTATTCTCCGCGCCCAACTTTGATCAACTTCGCGCATTGATTTATATGTTAAGCCGATATTACACGGATCAACCAAATTGAAACAATTCCATTGAAAAGCATGGAACATTGCACATTGAACGGCTTTACCAATATACACGTAAATCATTTAAATGCCATTCAATGTTCACAGCGCAATGAGATGTCGCGCCAACAACGGAAATTTCGTTAATCTGCTACTATTTAATAAATGAGTTAAATAATAAAAAAACATGCGTGAGTGTCGTGGAACACTCGGTTGGAACGAAGTTCCTTTCGTAGTATACTCGTATTATTAATGAGAAACGTATTATATTATTGATTAACAAAATAAATAACTAGCGTCTATTAAAATGAAGCGTCATTTAAAATAAAAAATAAAGTTCCTTTCGTAGTGTATTATTATTGATAAACGTATTATATTATTGATTAACAAATACAAACAAATAAATAATACAAATAAAAAAATTTTGCACACTATGACACAAGGGGTAGTGACGAAAATATCTTATGCTTCCTCTACACTACTCGCGAAGTAAATCGAAGTTGGACGAGGCGAATAGTGTAGAGAGTTACTTCGATTCACTTCGTCCAACCTCGCTTCGCCTCGGGCGACTTCCGATCGCTGTCGGTTTTTTGCGCCAGAGTCAAAGGGCTTCGCGAAGTACCTCGAAGTTACACGAAGCGTCTCACTACACTA